GCAGGCCTGGTGAACGTCCAGTGAAAAGGCACCTAATTGGTAGATGAGAGCATCATGTGTGAGGCTCAGCCAGGAGGCTGGTGTCACTGGATCACAGAGTACACAGAGGAGAGTGGGGCAGAAGAAGCCTGGAAAGGGAGGAAGAGGTCAGATCATGAAGGGCTTTAAAAGCCATGAACTGTCAGGTGATTCAGAGGAAAACCAGCATTTTGGGTGGATTCCCCCACGAAGACTTTATCGGAAAGAATGGACAAGAGTCACCCAGATTTAAAAGGAATGGGTGGGTTGCAGTCTGCACTAATGGAGGAAGTCTTCAGAGCAATGAGATCACAGATTTCATCAAAGTATCAAAAAAACTGAAAATGCACACTAAATATAGAAGAGCACATAAATTTCACTAAATCCTAGTGTTCTAAAAATCAGAAGAAACTTTTAGAATCATCTAAACCAATTCTGACCTAAAACAGACAACCCCTCTACGGTATCTTTCAATGGATGTATAGCCCACAAATGTTATTTCTCACTTAACTACCAGCATGTCTTTAAAAAAATTATTCTGAGTATATTTTTAAAAAATAATTAAACTGCAGTAAGTTTATGGCCATTTCTGTATATGTAGAACATTGTCCATCTACCAAAAGGACTTTACTAAATGAATAGTGTTCTATAAAATTCTTCTGACCACCAAGGGCAGTCCTGGAAACAAAGGGGAATATGCACACACCTAACAGGAATTTCCTCAGATAAACAAAGGCTAAAATGCTGGATTCTTATCAGCAACAAACAGCAGATGCAGGAAACCTTTTGTGGGAAACTCTGGGCACCAGCTCTGAAATTAAGTCATTTCTAACACTGAAAGTCAGGGGCAAACTAAAAGTCATGCCTTTTCTTTGAACATATAACACACACACACACAAATAGATTCCACACACAAAAACTTTGGAAATACAAAGTACTAACAGGGTTCTTTTCTTAACACCAAAGAAAGATAAAATGAACAAGATAATATGTTTATTTATGTATCAAATTACTTTATTAATAATGTTATATCTTCACTTGGAAAAATATTATCTATTCCATCTAAATACTAGTAAATCCATAAGGAAGGCATACATATAAATGTAAATCACTTCTAAATTATAAATATTTAGAGTTGGAAGGTCCCTTAGAGGTAATCTAGTTTGATCCCATTTTAGAGCTGAGGAAATTAAGGCCCCAAAAGATGAAATGGCCTGTCCAAGGCCACAGAGCCAGCAAGTGGCAGAGCTGGAAACTGATCTGAAGTCCTCTGACACAGCATCCAGTTCTCTTTCCCTTAGCCATTACAAACTAAAAATAGATTTAAAATTGCTGTAAGGTATTTTAGTAAATACCTAAATTATTTAAAGTAATTATGAAAAGATAAATGAAAGCTTCTTGGTTTCTACCTCTCTCATTCCTTTAATATTTAAAGTCACCTCTCCTTTAAAGTGAGTGAGAGAACTTTGCCCCACTTTCAAGTAAAAGCAATTTACCCATTTAATCATGCTAACTATTCGTTAGAACCTGACTGTACGTTCAAGAATAGTTACTGACCCATATTGGTAAGAGGGGATTTCCTTACTGGAACTGCCCTAAACCTGTGAAATCACGGGTGCAGATCAAATCTCTCCCCATTCCCTCCTCCCCCAAAAAAAGACAAAACAAAAAATAAATTAAAAAACTGAAAAATCAGGTTCTAACGGACAGTTAGCATGATTAAGTGGGCATCATTTCTCTGAGGTTTATAGTGACTAGACTCAAAGACCATGGGTTCATGCTAACTAGCCAAGGCAGCACACTGTAGTGAAATGAATGCTGAAATAAGAGCTAAAAGACCTGCAGCCTAGTCTCATATCTGCCACATTAGCTGTGTGATTCTGGGCAAGTCACTTATCCTTGTACATTCCTGATTTCCTCAGCTGAAGAAATCCTCAATTTCAACTACAAATAGGTGAATCATAATACCTGCGGCTCCCCCTTCCCCCATTCTAAGGTTATTATGAGGACTTGAAAGCACTCCCTAAATTGTCGATTTTATACAAATAAAATATTATTACAATTAGTGTTAATTTTATGATGGAATCCAAAAGATTTCACCACCAATAGAAGACAAAAATGGTCCAAAATACTAAATCATTTAAATAAAACCTTTTCTAGTTTTACTTTTAAAATTGGGCTACAACAGAATCTCTAAAAGCTGGATATTGACAAGGAAACATGTTCCCTAGGATACTTTCTGTTTCAGAAGATACTGTCCTAGATGGATTAATCTGACATCCTAAATAGCATAAGTGTAAGTACATCTGGGGAGCCAAGGTCTTCATGAATAGACTTCTTTGCAAACAGAGAGTATCTCATTTATAGTATTTGTACTCTCAGCACCTAGCACAGGCCTGGCACAGAGCAGGAACTTCATACTTTGTCTATTCAAAAAGATCTTCAATGAGACAGAGAGAGAGAGAGAGAGAGAGAGAGAGAGACTATAAAGAATCTTGGAAATAGGGAATTTTACAAGGACTTCTTAGTGAATCTGTTGCTACAAGCAATGATCTGGTTATAAAATCTAGCAGCTCCTAGGGGGCTTGAAGAAAATCTGTTTGAAAGTGACTAGCCTGCCAAGGGGCCTATTGATGCCAACATAAAGAATATGCTAATGTAAACGCATCTGTCTTTCAACTTCCAGATCTGAATATCTCTGTATTCGAGCTACAGAGTTCCTCTGTGCCTGGAATGCCTTCTCCCACATCTCTGTCAGTTATAATCCTACCCATTTTCAAGGCCCAATTCAAATGCCAGTTAGCCTTCCTTGGTACTCCCTGAATTAAAATTCCTCCTTCCTATAAATTCTCATGGTACCTTGCACCTTTTGTTCACTTTCACACTCTACTTTGTATCATATTTATTTGTATGTATGTCTAAGTCTCCCTACTAGGGCAAGAATTGTGTTTTATTTACCTTCACCTCCCCTGTCAAGTATCCATAGCACAGGACTTGCTCAATAAATACATGTTGTAATAAACTGACTTCCCAACCTAAGACGCAAAAAATTAATCAGTGGAATCAGCATGAATAAAATAAAATCTCTATCTTCTACACTTTATTCACTATTAGAAATTTCCTTCAAGAGCACCACAAAAAATTTCAGAGGTCATGGAGAGTCCAGGCACAGAAACCAAGTAGTGATGTTATCTACAACTGGACTGAAATTTTTCTAGCTGGCAAGTTCTTTTAAGAGGAAGTAAGACTTAGTATGCATTGTCATTTTCATTCATATGTGATATAAAAAAAAAAAACTATGGAGCCAGGCAGCATAGCGGATAGAGCACAGGACTTTTAAATCTAGCCTCAGACATTTATTAGCTATGCCCCTAGGAAAAGGCATTTAATTACACTGTGTTTCAGTCTACTCATGTAAAATGTAAAATGGAGGAATTCACAGCACCTACCCCACAAGATTATTGTAGTGATCAAATTAAATTAACATATGTAAAGTGCTCTGCAAACCTTAAAGCACTATAAAAATGCTATTACTACTACTTCTGTCATTGTTATTGAGCACATTTATAACTGAGGTAGAGCAGGTGGGCATGCCATATTCTGAAATGAAAAATAACAGAGAGATAAAGCCAGCAGTACATAAGTACCCAAAGACAATAAAAGGATAAGTAGAACTCTAGGAATTTTGGTAGATTCCCTAGAGAGGATTTATGGAACAATAGGGCAATAATTACATAGAAGGAGGAGCAGATGAGTTGTGGCAAAACCATTATGCAATAATTAGCGGTAGGCTTCAAAAGAGACAAAGGTAAAAAATTTATTTAAGGATGATAGTATCAGACTAAGCAACTACCCTGTAAGCCCAGAGGCCAATAAAATCCTCTTTATAATACCTTTTCTATTTTGGTATTTGTTTGAAAATTATGAGATCAGATTAGGGCACAAAAGTAAACCTAGCTTAATGAAGTATACAGATCAAATCTCAGTATAACAAAAAATACTAGGTTTCCAAGTCTGAGCAAATGGTTCATTTATTCCTAAAATTCAACACAACAAAGTTAACCAAAAAACAAGATAATTTGGATAGTCCCAGGAAGTCAGTCACAATGGAATCTGATTTGTCAAAGTTTGAGATTTCCAAGGCAGAGTAAGTACAAAATGAAGTACAAAAGGCATTAGGTAATCACCTTCCTCAGACTTAACCACAAATTGAACACTGAGATTTTGCCTATATGTTAAGTAACCACTAACCACCATCTAACTTTAGAATTATGGGGCATATGCTAAACAGTTATTTGTGAGTTGTTTCATTATTTTAGACTTTGACATTTTAATGTTGTATACTTTTGGTGACTTACAGAAGTACTAGCTGAAAATGGAATTAATTTGTTCAAAATTATTAGAGAAGATTTCTTTTAATTGTATCACATAGGAATCAAAGATCATTTATCTATATTAAGCATGGAAAACTACACATAATCTTAGCTATATCAACTAAGCATATAATTTAATGCATGTTTAGTTTTGTTAGATAAGATTCTTTTTAAATTTTTGTTTCTATGGTTTCTTCTACATGATGAACCTCTCTTCAGACATCTCGTTTGGTATCCCCCATTACCAACAACCCAAACTTGTGAGATGTGTTGCTAGGGTTGGTACTGGAATTTTTCCTCCAGGTTAAGTCAACTGACCTGAAAGAAGAGTTAATGCTTGGAACCTTTTACTCAAAAGCACAGCTCTAACCAGTTAAGTTAAAACTTCAAAAGGAGTAGATCTGTCTTCCTTCACTTCTTTCTGAAAAAAGTGTTGGGTTAAATCATACCTGCCTAAGATAAAGAGATGTAGTAAAAGGAGAGGTGACTTTATGCACCTACATACATGGCAGTTTATAGGATAATATGAATCGTAGGTGTATCTAAAAACAACGATGAATGCATATAGGCTCAAAGGAAAAGGTGACCTGAAAGCAGAGCAATAATTACCTCGGAAATGTTTTTGTCAGTTTCTTTTCTCTTTTCTTCTAGCTTCCTTTCAATTCCTACAATTCCTACAGCCCTTATTCTTCCTGGCTGAAAAACAAAAACATATAGGATTCAGGAAGGAAATTTCAGACCTTTTTCACCCACCACACTTTGTTTCCAGTAGAGGAAAAGGGTCTACAAAGAAGCAAAGTAAAACCATGAATGAGGCTGTCAACAGAGTGTACTCTTTCATCCAACTTCCTTTCAAAACATCCCCTTATCAGATGGCTGAATAGCAGTACTCTCTAAATCCTTAGAGAAAAAAACTAAGTATAAATAAAAGTAGATATTTACCTCTATATTTTTAGGTACGTTATCAAAACTTCCAACTTTACCCCCATGTTTCTATTACTTATAACTCTTTGTTGGGTGTGGTATCGTAAGAAGAACACTAGAGTGGAAGTCAGGAAGATTTCAAAATCCACCTCCAAAACTGACTGTGTCAGCATGAACAAGTCAGCTAATTTCTCTGAGTCAGTTTCCCCATCTGTAAAATACCTGTAACATCTACCTCACAAGACTGCTATGAGGATCAAAAGAAATAACACAAAGTGCTTTGCAAACACTAAAGCCAAAACCACATATAAATGTCAGTAATTACTATTATCATTATCTGAACTCACAGTCTAATACATACAAGATTTTTAATGAAGTCTCCACTGGGCCTCAAACTGTCAGCTGTCTTTTGCCATTGTGGTAATTACAGAAGCAATTTTCTAGTATGAATATCTCTATATAATCACAGTGATTAATTTAGAGCTTGACAAGTTCCCTTCTATATAAGATTCTTTCTGAAGTAATCTTTTTCTAGGCATCAAAGAAAATCTATTTTTTAAAAGAAAATAAAGTTGTCTATTTCCACTAGGCTACATATAACTGTACTTTTTATCATGAATCATTTGGAAGAAAAAATGTCTTTGCTCCTGGACAGTTCTGCTTCTAACATGTATTATTCCATTTGTGATTATATAGAAAAGTATAAAATTAGAAAATGTCAATGGTTTAAAAAAATACCTCTTGTCCACTCTTCCTTTGCATTACTTGGGACACTGGCATATTCTCCCATCTTCTGTGAGTCATTTCTTCTGATAAACGCCTATAAAACTGTGTAAATAAGTAAAGGTGAGATCAATCTGTAGAACGCTTCTATGTCATTACTTAAAATATCTTCATTCTGTTACGATAGCTAGACACTACTTCATTCACTTTGCATGGTGCTCTCATAAATAATTCCTTTCTGAGGGCACCAGCAGAAAGAGGAACTAGCTGCTTATACAAGGTGATCCACTCTCAACAAAAATGTCCTAAATTACAGAGATCACTTACAAAAACCATTTCATTTGCCTACTAAGTGCTCTGTATTAAAGTGAATGTAATGTCAGAAATAATGTACAACCATTTTTCAAAAAAGGAATTAAAAGTAATGTAGCTAGTTAAAATACGAGGCAGGAATCAGACACCAAAGACTCCTATTTTTGCAAAAAGGAAATGGTGACTTTTAGCTACACTAACAACTTCAGTCACTCAGTATTTACTTAGTATCTATTGTGCACTAACTGCTCTAAAGAGATAAAAAAAGAGGGGCATGAAAAAGATAACAAGAGAAATAAAAAAAATGCAAAATGACCTGTTAATGCTTTTAAAGCAATACACCAACAATTACACATCAATGTAGTATAAGTTTATTAAACACCAAGGGCACAAAAAGTCAAAGAAATTAGGACATCTGGGTGGGGGTTAATCAAGAAAGACTTTGCAGAAGTGTGCTTTGGTAACATCTTTGAAGAATAATTGCTTCTCCAGAAACTGTGAACTGTGTTCTTGAGAATCAGTCTGCCAAAGAGCTCTAGGTGAGTGTGCATGCAGACCTGTGTATATATGTATGTACACCTATTCAGCCACACATGCATCAGTGTGTATCTATATCTACTTATAGTTATGGTCCTTTCACCAAGACATTATAAAGGTTTTCTACTCTACTCTTTTGTACTCACTGTACTTTTCAATGCCTCTTCAATTCAACTACTTATTTTGCCAATGACAGCTTTTAACACTTTTTAATAGTAAACTAAAGGCCCAATTGAAAGAAATTACCAACCTCTAGCCCCTCTTTTCGACCATCACTGCTTCATGCCTCCCACTTTCACTGTAACCTTAACCTGATTAAATCTACTCTGTCAGAGACCTGGTGGCAATAAAGGACATGCCCTTGCATCTAGTTTTGTCCTATAATTTATTCTGAGCTCTCTTGGGCTGGTGAAGTGACAAGTGGTATAAACCACTACCAACAGATGATTCTTTGAACATGCTCAGGCTAGACTGTAATATACCAAAGAGGATGGAACTGGCAGGAGGAAAACCTGAGGTTCAAACTCATCTCTACCACACATAGCTGTTGTGTTGCTGGGTGAGCCACGTGTTGTAAAGAACTGACACTTGCAACTCCATACCCAAGTCTCTCAACTCCATTAGAGTCAGTTGTCAATAAGTATTTATTAAGCATCAGAGATTCAAAGAAAGGCACCTATTCTCAAGGTGCTCACAATCTAATGGGGTGGTTCTAAGAGCGTTCCAGGTGTGGGGGACAGCCAGTAAAAACGCCATGAGCCAGGAGATAACTGTCTTGTTCGAGGAACAGCAAGGAGGCCTACATCACTGGATCTAAGAGCATGTTTTTTGGAGGGGGAGAGGCAAATGTTGGTCAGTCGTTTCAGTCGTGTCTGACTCTTCATGACCCCACTGAGGTTTTCTTGACAAAGATACCGGAGTGGTTTGTCATTTCCTTCTCCAGCTCATTTTATGGATGAGGAAACTGGGGCAAAGAGGGTTAAGTGATTTGCCCAGGGTCACAGAGCTAGAAAGTGTAAGAGGCCAGATTTGAAATCAAGAAGATGAGTCTTCCTGACTCCAGGCCTGGCACTCTATCCACTGAGCTACCTAGTTGCCTGTGGGTGCGTGTGTAAGGTGTGATAAGAATGTTGGGAGGCGGAAAGCAGGTTAGAAAGAGCTTTGAACACCAAACAGAGGATTTTATATTTGATTGTGAAGGTAATAGGAGTCACTGGAGTTTATTTGGGCAGAGGAGGTGACATGATCAGACCTGTACTTTAGGAATATCACTTCGATAGATGAATGGACAATGGACTGAAGTCAAGAGAGACTCATGGTGGTACTGCAGTTCTGCACAGAAAAGAATAATGTTGTGCCACAAGCAAAAAATATTCAAGAAACACTGTTCTAAACCTTAAAATGACATATAAGCATTGGCTATTATTATTACCTGGCCTTTGTCACAATTAGTTCTTTGCACATTACAATACAGAGAAATGGATAATTATTATTAGTGTAAAAAACAATATAAAAAGATCTTTAAAACAATCATGAAGGGGGAATGGCACACTGTACAATGTTAGATTCTAGCATGTGAGAGGCACTTATATGAAAAACAATGACATGTATACTTTTAATCAAACTGACTCTACAAGAACTTACCTCAATCTGGCCATGCTCTTTGAAAGAAAGTTTGATGTAGGAGCTCTTGCTGCTTTGGAAAGGGCCAGGCTCTTTGTTGGAAGAAGCTGGGTGAAGATGAATCACTATTTTGGCACTAAAGAAAGAACACTCATTAAATACACCATTGCCTTTAATAATACCTCCAATTCTGTTCTGACTAACATTGGGTATATTTCGGATCACTTCTTACAAAAGTTCAATATGAGAAAAGCCCAGGAGAAAAAGTGACTTCATCTATAAATTTAGTGTTAATGAGCAGATATGAATGCCATTCAAATGCAAACTTGTAACATAAAAATCAAAAGATTCCAAGAAAATGTCTATAATCTATAGATTAAATAAGACATTTTTAGGAAATAAAGTCGAAATGAGGTTGCTATACTTTAGGTGGTGCTTATTCAGGGTTTTCCATTTGTAAAAGCATCCCTAGAGGTTATACAAAATTACCTTTAACTTCTGCCAAAGCATACTACCTTAGCTAAGTGGAAACAAACTCGTTTCATTAATAAGACATTAACTTATCTGTATAAAACCAGCCAGCTGACATTTTATTAAAATACATCCAAAACTAATATTTTACACCATCACTTATGGGAAAACACCACTTCATCAACAACATGATGTAGAAAGATACCTCATAACAAAAACAACTCTGGAAACATTATTGCTTTGTTATTAAAAAAGACCACAAAAAATGGATCATAATGATCAGGAAAGTGATCCACACCTCTAGTTTACAGCCCTGTAATTCCTTTCTCCTTCAGTAAAGTCTACTCCAATGCTCCACTGAGATATGGAGGTAACCCTGGGCTCTCAGAGGTTAAGCCAACACAGAACAAGCTCTGGCAGGTCCTTCCTACAGGCAAGCTGGGAAAATGTCAAGTGCAAGCCTTCAAAAAGACTTTATTTCTACTAGTTCCCAACCTAATAAAGCATGGAGAACCATATTACCAAAAGGGTAATGAATTTTTTGAGCCAGGGCAATCCATGAAATTGTCTCCTAAGGCACAGAGGAGCTGTGATCACTATTGGTGGAAAGAATACCCAATGAAAAAATCAGAGATCTTTTGATGTACTGAATTATAATTCTTTTTTTAAAGAGTATTTGACTAAAAACGGTCCAATTGCGCAACTATTTCTTTACTGGACACGATAACTGGATCAGACCCCATCTACACAACTGCCCATAAAGCTGTCTGAAAAACACCAGACAACTGAACTTATTGAGTAAACATCACACTGTGCACCTACTTGTAGTGTCAAGCATTTTAGTGGTGTCAATGAAGACTATGTAAAATATTCTGGCACTCTATGTGATTGTGCACAATTTATTTAATCCCTACAATCCTTGGTTTTCTCATCTGTAAAATGGAAATATATCACCTGTACCAACTACCTCAAATGGTTATTATAATGATCAAATGAGATAACATATGCAAAGCAGAATGCAACTTTTAAAGCCCTATTTGTTAACGGTTTGATTATTAGTTGGGTCCAGACTTGTAATGATTCTCAGAACTGCTGAGTTCTGAGAGGAAAACTAGAAAGAAAAAACTGGGCAGGAACAATTATAGTCATAGTCTGAAATCATTCATCTAGCAAGGCACCAAAGCCACAGCCATAGGAATCAGAGCCAGGCTGGCTCTGACTGGACAAAAGCATTAGGAGTTTCTAAAAAACAACTGAGCTAATCATCTCCTGCTGTAGCTGCAGGATATGCCAAAGGCCACGAGGAGGAGCAGGGGAGAGAAAACTAGACAACCTGAATGGTGTGCCTGGAAGGACCATAAGAGTGGGCCTAAAGAGAACAGTTCAACAGTTAACATAGGGGAATGACTGATTTTTTGCCCTTCATTGGAGATATCTGAAAAGCAGACAATAATTTGACAGTAAAAAGTGATACATAAGTTCCATGGTTTGGATTTCCCTTCAACATGGCAGAAGGATAATTCTTTAACCTCAGAGTCTTTTCACACACCATTTTTTTATCCTCATTTTAAAAATTAATGTAATATTTCCCCAAATATACATGTAAAAACAATTTTAACATTCTTTTTTTCAAATTTTGAGTTCTAAATTCTCTCCCTCCTCTCACCCCCTCATTGAGAAGGCAAGCAATTTGACATAGGTTATACAACACACAACTTTTTATCATTTCATTAAACAAGGAGAGAAGAGATAAGCAAGAATAATAAAAAGCTAAAGGTCCGATGTATATAACTATTCTACAACATAATCCTTCTAACAGGTTGACTCAAGGATCCTAGCCATGATGGATGCCAACACAGGAGGCAGACTAGCCTACCCAATTGTCCCATACCTACTCCTATTGTCACACCAGACAGAACAGTGATCAAGAAATCTACAGAGAAACTAAACTATAATAGGTGATTTCTTCCACCTCAGAAACACACAGAAAGGTAACATGAAAGAAGGTTGCGAAAAAAGACAATGTCAGGACACAGAAGCCTCTCAGCATGACCAAAGATGGACAGAGAGACACATCTAGCCTGCATGGCTCCGTGTTCAAAGGCAGCAAAAGTGCATATGATTCCTTTGAGAAAACCCAGAGAAGAGACCAAGGGAGTGCAGTGTCACAGGCACTGACCAAAGCACTAGAACCAAGAAATCCCAGGGCCCAGGGGCTCCGAGGTCCCAAATATTCTGTCCTAAGACACCAGTGAGAGCTCTTATTATCTAATGCTCTGAAACTCAGAGATCCAGGGGAAGGGTATAAAGGGCTTCAAACACTAAACAGAAGATTTCATAATGGATCCTGGAGGTAAGCTCTGTGAGTCAGGCTTGGAGAGGGAGTTAAATGGTCAGATATGGTTTTAGGAAGATCACTTAGGCAACTGAGTGGAGGATGGTTTAGAGTAAGAAAACAGTAAGGTATGAACAAGGAAGGTTATGGCAACAGTCTAGATGTGACATGATGAGGGTCTGCACCTAGGGGGAGGCTGTGAGATGAGACAAAAGGAGAATAAGACAAAAGATGATGTGATGGTACAAACAAGCCTTGGTACCAGGCTGGATATGGGGGGAGGGGAGGAAAGGGAGTCAAGAACGACATTAAGGTTGTGAACCTGGGAAACTAGGAGTATGATAGTATACTAGACAACAATAGGGAAGTTCAGAAGTGGAGAGGATTTTGGGGAAAAGATAACAAGTTGTGTTTTGGACATGTTGCATTTGAAATGTCTACAGGACATCCAATTTAAGATGTCTAACAGTTGGTGATAACAGGCAGTCTTGGCAGTGGTACATTATTTGTCATGTTGGCCTTCTTGTTACCTTTTTTGGCTTTGGAATGTGCCACAGCTTTTTTGATCATTTCTTTGATGCGAAAAGCATCCTTTGGTTACCAGTTAAATTGAGGTGGACATTCTTTCCCCAATTTTGCAACATTGTTAATTTACAAATCTAGACTTGAAGAATTAAGGACTGAGAAATGACCAATATCTTAAACCATCTGCAACAAAAGCGAACCTAAAAGACGTGGCCAACTGAATCCGGGTCCTTTTCAGTCAGAAATCCTCTGCTGCACATTTTGTTTAAGTGTTACTGTTTCTGCCTATTACTGTCAGAAACACCAACAGTGCAACCTGTGCAACTGGAAAATCTTGCCTTTTTTTTTTAAGAACACTTTGCTAAAAATAACAAAACAATACAAAACCTACCACCACCCACAAACAAAACAAAACAAAGAGACAAACTGTGTGTTATGCACTTATCAAAATGCACTAATGGGTACTCTGAATTTAATTCCACTGACATCTGCAGAAGGCAGCAGGAAAACAGAAAGTCCTACTTCTTCTCTAGAAAATAGATTCTGGAGGTCATGAGAGAGTTTGGGGTTAGGGAAGTAGATCTAATAAGCATCTCCAAAGACATGATAACTGAATACACAGAAGACAATGAGATCATCAGGTGAAACGGAAGAGAAGAAGAAGAGAAGAGGATCCAGGACAGAACCTGGAAGATCCCCACAGTCAGTGGTAAGGAGATAAATCTGCATAAAGGTACAACAAGAGAGACTGAAGAATGTTCAGACAGGCAGCAGGAGAACCAAGAGAAAGCAGTGTTATAAGAAGTAGAGAGGAGAGAATATCCAGGAGAAGACGGTGATTGACAGTACCAAAGGCTGCAAAGGTCCAGGAAGAAAAGGACTGAGCAATTAAGAGATCATAGGTAACTATGGAGAGAAGTTTCGAATGAATGCTGAGATCAGAAGCCAGAATGCAGACAGGAAGTAGAAGGGTCAACAGAAATGGCTTTCATAAGGAATTTAAGCATGAAAGGGAAGAGAGATAAAGGATGATGGTTAATGGGAATGACTGTAGTGAGTGACAGTTTTTTAATGATGGGGGAGATATGGAAAGCATGTTTGCAGGCAGCACAGAGGCAATCAGCAGACAGGATCTGAAAATAAACGAGGTGGGCATAATAATCTGCTGAAGAAGACAGGATGGGATGCTATCACTTGTGCACATAGAAGGGCTTGCCTTGGCATCTTTTCATGCAAGAAACTGGAGAAGAGCAAGAGAATGGGGTAAGACATCTGAGATGAGGAGCAAAGAAGAAGAGAGCGAGTTCAAAGCAAACAGGTTTCCATATTTTCAGGAAGTATGAGGCAATCTTCAGCTGAGAGGAGTGGAGGAGGGGAAGCTACAGGAGGTGTGAAGAGGGATGAACAGGTCTGGTCTATCCCACTGTGGTGAGTGGGACAGTGACTTCATTAGGGAGCTATAAAAGGATGCTTGCTGCAGTGAGGGCCCCGAATGTATACACAAATTGGTAGTGGATCCAGTAAGCACAGTTTCACGCTTTTCTTCAGCTTCATTCAGCAGGATGTAAACAGGAACAAAGGGAACAGAAGTCAGGATGACGACAAACCACAGAGGGAAGGGTTGTAAGGCAGACAGGAAGACAGAATGATAACAGATTATGATCTGATCAAGAAAGTTCAAAGTTCATGAACTTGTAAGTGGAATGAATACTTGTGGGTGAGGGCAAGATCAAGGGTATGACCAGCTCTTTAGTTAGCTGAGGTGGAATGGAGGTTAAGTAGGTCATGGGGAATAAGTAGACTGAAGAACCAGGAAGTCAGGGAGCCCTCAAGCTCATGCTTTCAAAAACAGAATCTAAACTTGTTGCCATTGGTTATATTTGGTCATCTGATGTTATCTGAACCAATGATTTCACTTACAGTAGCCTAAGGAATAAAAAATGAGGAGCAAACCTTATAATCAGCTACAAGGAGAAGACATTTAGGTATATCATCTTTCCTTATGTACTTTTATAGCTTATACGTAAGTTTTAAGATACTTTAAGATGTTATTTCATGTCAAGAAGTATAGAAAAATAGCATATTCAGGACCCCCCAACCAATGTCATGGAGCTAATTTACATAGAACCAAAATGCTACAATGATAATAAAATAATAATACTACTAATAATGGCTAGCATTTATGTAGTGCTTTAAGGTCAACAAAGCACTTTACACATATCTCATTTGAGGCTCACAATACCCTGGAAGGCCAAAGCTATTATAATCTCCATTTTACAGATCAGGAAACTGAGGCAGATAGCGCAGTGTGAAGCTGGATTTGTACTCCAGTCTTCCTGTTCCAAGTCCTGCAGTCTGAGTCAACTAGCTGCAATTCGTGATGCCATAACATGAAATCAACCATCAAGGAGAGAAGCTTAATAAAAACATATTCAACAACAGGATCATATAAAATCTTACCTTTTTCCGATACCAGCTGCTTGTTCTTCAATGAATACAATTTGGGAAAGAGGAATACCAATGCAACATTCCTATAGCATAATCAATACAAAATAAAAGAGTGAGATTTCAGTGGGTACTTTGCTTTACAGCATTCAGTACTCAGTGTCTACTAAGCATCTATACAGCTACCCTGGGCCACCTTGCTAACATTACTAATTGCACACTAAGCAGCATATGCCATTCTACTCTGAACAGAGCTCTGTAGGGGGAGGGAGAGACCAACCCAAAGACAAAGTAGAAACCTGCCATGTTCCCTTAGGTGATGGCAGTAGAAGTTACCAAAGCAATTCCTTAGGCTAGTTCCTTCAGAATCAAGACTAATTTTATTTGATTTATATAAAAACCTAAGTCCTCGACACAGAAAAACAGTATAAATACAGAACACAACGATAATAGAAAAGAAACAAGAAAATCTGAAGATAGTGAAGATAGAGTGAAGGGATCTAGGTTCTATATTAGTTCCACTACTGTAAACAAGGACTATAAAGCAATTAGGTAACAAAACAAAGTAGTAACAATTAAATAGCAAGGTGAGGGGTAGACACAACAAAAGTTACAGAAGTTTAGAACAAAGAGAAATCAATGATTAATAAAACCAGTTCTTGATTGTTAATGCCAACGTCCCTACTAAACATTTTTGAGAGTTTTTAACCAGCAAACTTCTTACTACTGCTTAAGTCCATCTTTTCAATAGCAATGCTCTGATGGTACCTGGCTGTAATCTGGAATACCAAAGAGTTAAAGACCCATGGTGAGCATGAGTAGGCTTTGAATTATCAAGGACATGCAAGGCCAGAATAGAAGGTGGACCAGTAACGGAGTAAGGATGAGAAGCCAGATGGACAGACAGGCTCTGTGGTCATTATGTATCCCTAAGATACCAAAAAAAAAAAAAATCTCCCACCATGCCTTGAGTAGAAATTAAAATAAGTAAAATTTTAAAATCATCAAAATAAGTTTAACTAACAATTTAACCTCTTCTTTTTTACCTCCCCCCCCCAGTAAGAAAATGCAGACAACAGAAGAAAACAGGAGAGAATGAGTAATCCACAATTTGAATAATGCATCTTTGAATAAGAAGAGTCAAAAACATCAGGGAATCTTAGAGTTGTAAGAAACTGCAAAGGTCATCTAATCAGAGACTCCCTAATGAAAGGGCCCTCTGTGCAAGAAGACAATCCTTTTATTCTTCCCTAACTGATTTATTAAATCATTGACTGGAGAAGTTATTGCTAAAGTTCCCCTGAAGACTGTGCTTCTTTACTGAGAAAATGGAGACCATCCAAAGTAAATTAATTCTTCCATTTATCTCAAAACCCCTTAACATCATCTCCAACTTGCAATTTCTGACCAAGTGGTGACCCTTCTCTCTGCCAAGGCCAAATCCTCAATGTGCTTGCTTCATTTGATCCTCTACATCTTTTCCAACAGACCACATCCTTAATCATCCCCGTTCTGAAATCTTCAACCTTTCCCTATCAACTAGTTCCTTCCCTATTGCCTCCAAATACGCTCAAGCCTTATCCATCCTTAAAAATCTTTCACTACATCCTACCATTCTGAGGCTATGTCTCCTCTCTTTCTTAGCCAAACACCATGAAAAAATTGTCTACACTCACATGCCCACTTTCTCTCTTCTTACTCAGTCCTCAACCTTTTGCAATATGACCTCTAGCCTCATCATTGCTCTCTCTGAAGTTGCCAATGATCTCTTAATTACCAAAAATGATGGCTTTTTTTTCCTCAGTCCTAATCTCTTGACCTATCTGCTGCATTTGACACTGCTGCCACCCTCTTGTCCTAAATACTCTTTTCTTTCTGGGTTTTTGTTGTTTCCTGGTTTCCCCTCCTATGTGACCAATGTTTACTTCGCTAGTTCATAATCTATATCATACCCCCCAAACTGTGGGTGTTTCCCAAGATTCTTTCCTAAGCCTTCTTATTTTTTTCCTTAGTAACCTCATAAGATCCCATGGATTTAACTATCCTCTCTATGCAGATGATCCCGGAAGTATATATGTAGCCCTGGTCTCTTCCCAGGTTGAGTCCCACACCTTTAACTGCCTACTAGGCATTTCAAACACTATGCCCTGAAGGTATTTTAAATTCAACATGTCCAAAATTAAACTCATTATTTTTCTTCCAAGTCTGTCTGAGGTACCATCATCCTTCTAGTATCCTAGGTTTATGTCCGTGGCATTTATATCCATGGCATAACTCTTTATTTTCCTTTACCTCACATGTCTATTAGTTGGCAAATCTTGCCAATTCAACCTTCACAACATGTCTCACATCCAACCCCTTATCTTTACTCACATAGCCACCACATTAGCTCAGGCCCTCATCTCCTCTCATTGAGAATACGGCAACAGCTGATCCTAACCAGCCTCCCTGCCTTAAGTGTCTCTTCATTCTAGTCTATCCCACTTACACACCACTGACAAAGACGTGACCACATGATTGCCCTGCTTAGTCTGCTCCAGTGGCTTCCTACTGCCTCTAAAATAAAATAGAAACTCCTCTGCTTAGTTCTGAAAGCCCTGCATAACTTGGCTTCTACCTATCTGTCCATGAAGTATTTTAAGCTCCTCACATTTAAAGTATTACATGAAACTCTGAAGAGTTTAAAGACAAAAGTCTTTAAAAATGGGAAAATTTCTCATCTTGCTGGGTTAACTCAAATCTATGTGGTACTTTAAGGCTTACAAAGTACTTTCCTGATAATTATACTACTAGACAGGCATTGCAATGATCATTATTCCCACTTTACAAATGAAGAAACAGAGGGCCAGAGAAAGTAAGTGGCTTGTCTCTGTCATCCAACTAGTTAAGGCACTGATTCAGCACCTCCTTTGTGCCAAGCCCAGAACTAGATCTCAAACACAAGGGATATTCTAATCCCAAGACTAGAAGGCCCCCTACAGTAGGGGAAAAGAATGCAATTGATAATCCCTCGAAGTTATTACAAGAAAGGCCTCCTTTTATCTATCTTACTCTCTATTTACAGGAATGAGAAGAGACAGGCATTCTTGTTTTGTGCCCTTACTACTAAGGAGAAAACCATTTTCCAACACATATGTGGTAATATTGTGCCCCATGTATCAAGAGGCAATGCAGTTCTAATAGAGGGTTATGACCAGGGTGAAGAATTGGAAAGCTTCCATGACTCTTCCTAATTTCTACAAAAGATCCAACTAGTAGGCCAGCTAGGTGGCACAGTGGATAGAGCACCAGCCCTGGAGTCTGGAGGTCCTGAGTTCAAATCCGGCCTCAAACACATAAGACTTACTAGCTGTGTGACCCCAGGCAAATCGCTTAACTCCATTGCCTAGCCAATTAAAAAAAAATCTTAACAAAAAAAAAAAAGATCCAACTAGATCAGTCTCTTCTGGAGTTGAACGAAAGGAAATAAGAGCAGGCAACAAAATTCTCTGTTAGCCTCTCTCTAATCCAATTCCCTCAGGAATGTCATATGAGATATGATCCCAACAGGCTAAAGATGAAGAAATATTAATATATCTCTATATACTTTAACCACCGGGAGAAAAAAGTTTCAGGTAGGTCAGTCACGTAAGAACACATGAAAAAAATGTAAACTTACATGATTTTTATGATCTCTCCAGATGAGGCGGTGTGTACTGAGGAGAAGGACTCCAGCATCAAATTTTATCTAGAAAGAAGCATCACATGATATTCACTGATGGTACTGAGAATTGTCAGAATCCTCTTTTACCTAATTACCTAGTAATATACTCAAATACTCAACTGGATCTGTCATCTAATCAATTCAGGAGTTCTTTCTTTCCATGCCTGCCCACTCTGTACAACTACATTTGTCCAGGTTCTCCCCAAAATTTACCACAGGGGTCCACTACAGATAGGCTTTTGACCATGGTGATCCATTTCTATATTCAAGTTAATTAATACTATGCTTTATTATTACACTATAAGTACTTCAGAAATAGTTTACCACAAATTCTGCATAGGGAACACTGTTAACTATTGAATAAGATAAGAATAAAAGACAAAAATGCCTGCGCATACATATATACATACAGACATATTCTCCTGTTGGTCACTGTTCCTGTATCAGACAATTTTCTTAACTTCTTTTTTTTAAGTAAACTTGTTGGGGAATCCCTTATTGGGAAGTGATTGTGCTATAAAAAAACCTTTTAAAAAGTAAAATAAAAACTTTAAAAAATTCAAATAACATGCTTATGTGCTGTTAATTTACATGCTGGTACATGCTCAACAGCATGCAAGATAAATGGGGGAAGAGAAGAAGGCATTCAAAGTAAAAAGAATAGACTGAGCAGAGGAGGCAGGAAAATACTGGTCATCTATGGAGGATATAGAGTAGTCTAATTATACTGAGTAGTCTAGTTTGACTGGATCATAGAGCATATGGAGGAGAGAAGAATGAGATGATTAGGAAGAAGGATGGTGCCAGAACAGAGGATGGATACTCTGGAGTGCTGGTTAGATAACTACAAACATTATTCAATAGACAAGAGGAAGCTACGACAGATTTCTGAAGAGAGCAATGACTTGACCAGATGTATGTATAAGGAAGATTGGCAGCATTGTGAAGAACAAATTGGAAATGAGAGAACAAAGTTTGGAAAAAGTATTGCAAAGGTATTACAACAGTAGCAGTCCAATAATAGACTAAAATAGTCCAGACTCATGACAAGAGTATGAACTGAGGTGCTAACTGTAGGAGTATAGGAGGGGAGAGATGTGACAAATATTAGAGAGGCAAGACTGACAGAACTTTTAAAGTGGTAAGAAGTGAGTCAGAAGGAAGAGTCAAAGAAAATAGAAAGGATTAAAACATGGAAAACTAGGGAGCTAACAGTGCCACTGAGGGGCATGGTGAAGTGAGAAGGAATGGGCTTTGGAGAAAAGCTAATAATTCAATTCCATGTACATTCATTAAGCACCTACTACATGCCACACATGGGGCTATGAACTGGAGATACAGAGACAAAAAGGAAACAGTTTCTGCCCTCAAGGAGCTTACCTTCTAAGTGTCAAGATAAAACAGAACAAAATTTACCTGACTTGTAGCAGGTAATTAATAAACGTGTGTGGATTGATTAAATACATGTACTAAATAAATACTCAATAATTTTAAGAGGGAAAGAGAATTAGTAACAATGGAGGGAGAGGGATGTAAGGGTTATCAAGAGAGATCTTGTGTAGGTGGCACCTGAATCTAAACCATGCCTCATACAAAGCTAAAGGGTCTATGAGACAGATACATGAGGAAGGTCTATGAGATATATATGTCAAACATGAGAGGGAGGAAGGGAGGAGGCAGAGGAGAGAGAAGAGGGCTTGAGGGGAGGGAGGAAGGGGGGGAGAGGGAGAGGGGGAGGGAGAAAGAGAAAGAGAAAGAGAGAGTGAATATGTGTGTCTGGGGAGGTCCAGGGGGTACAATATGATATACAAAGCTGGAAAGGTGAGTGGAAGGCTAAAGATTTTATATTCTATCACAGAGGTGACAGACAGCCATCAAAAATTTTTTACATGGTCGCATATGTGTATTAAGAATACTAATTTGGCATTTGATCAAATGAGTTACTATGTTAAGTCCTTTGCAAAGCTTAAGCTGTGTGAAGGATGGATTGGGAAGGTAAGAGACTGGAACTAAGAGACTGTGAAGGCAGAGATGAGAGAGAAGAGTATCTTTCAAGAGGAACAGCAAGTGGGCCAGGATAGCTGGATTGTAGAGGGCACGGACGGGAATAAAATCTAAGACTAGAAAGGCAGGAAAGGACCATGTTATGAAGAGCTTTACATGCCAAGTAGAAGACTTTATAGTTGATGTGGGAGGTAATAGGGAGTCATTGGAGTTTACTGAGTAGGAGAATAACATGGCCTATGCCCAATTTAGGAAAATCACTTTGGCAGCTACATGGAGAATGGATTGGAACAGGAAGAGACCTGAGGCAGGGTTAAGGTGATTGCAGCAGTTCAGGAGAGAAGTGATAAGGGCTTGAAATAATGTGGTGGCTGTGTAAGTGAAGAGAAGGGGACATCGACAGGAGATGTTACAGAGAAAAGAATGACAAAATCTGGCAATGGACTGAATATGTGGAGTGAGGAAGAGCAAGGAGTCAAAAATGACCCTGAAGTTGCAGGACTGGATGACTGGAAGGATGCTAGTGTCCTCAAAAGGGACAGGGAAATTTGGAATAAGGGAGGTTTGGGGATGGGGTGGGGATAATGAATTGTTCTGGACATGTTGCCTTTGAGATATCCACAAGACATCACTTTGTGATGTCCAAAAGACAGCTGGTAATGCCAGATTAGAGCTCAAGGGAGACTAGAACTAGACAGAGACTTGGAAACTATATGAATAGAGATGACAACTGAACCATGGCATCTGATGGGATAACAAAGTGAAATAATACAGAGGGAAAAGAAGTGAAGGCCCAGGACAGAGCCCTGAGGTACACCCACAATTAGTGGGTGTCACATGAATGAAGAATCAGCAAAGGAGACTGAGACTGAGAAGTGGCCAGACAGGTAAAAAGAGAACCAGGCAGGTCATGAAAATCTAGACAGCAGAGAGTATGAAGGAGAAGGTGATGGACAGAGTCAAAAGTTGCAGAGAGCTCAAGAAAGATGAGAGTTGAGAAAAGGCCATTTGGAGATCATCAATAAAAGGAGTAACTCCTTGGGGGGTAGAAGGACTCTGACAAATGATAATGATGGAAGTAAAATTTTTCAAGCTAACTAGAACTGGCCAATAGTTGTTTATACGCTTCCTCCTGGCTAATCTATAAACATGACACTCCATCTCCTTGCTCTAGGCATTTTCTCTGGCTATCCCCCATGTCTCTTCTTCACCTACTGCCTTCCCTGGCTTCCTTCAAGTCCCAACTAAAATCCCTTCTTCAACAGGAAGCTGTTTCCAATTCCTCTTAATGACAGGGCCTTCCCTCCCTTTCCTTTTTATCCTGTATTTTAGACTTTTCTTCCAGAAAGTCTGAATCCTAGTTTGTCCAGAGTGTTTTATCTTAATGTGCAAATGCTTTACCCGGCTTTATTTCAGGATAATTTTGAGGATATATAACTAACTAAGCTTCTGTTTCTCTACAATTCATGCTCAGCTTTTTTATGCCATGGGAATGTCAAAATTTATGTCAAGGATTTCACTTAAATGAAACTCCCCCCACTAATGCAGAGTAACTTGTCTATATTTTGCAGTTGAGGCTTGCCTAAAACATAGTGATGAGGATTTGAACAGTCAACTAGTGTCAGAGACAGGATTTGAACTCATTTATTCTTGACTTTCTGTCCACGAGGCCATGAGGAAAAAATGTAAACTATAAAGAGTAGTAAAAAAGAGTAGTAGAAAAGGTCAATTTCTACTGACATGAAGAGGTGCAGTAGAGAGAGCACTGGGCCGGGAGTGAGGAGGAATCGAGTTCAAATCTAGCCTCAGACACTTAATAGCTGTGTGAACCTCAGCAGGTCACTTAACCTTTGTTTGCCTCAGTTTCCTCAACTGTAAATTGGGAATAATAATAGCACCTATTTCACAGGGCTGTGAGAATCAAATATAATATTTGAAAAGCATCTTACACACAGTATATACTTAACAAATGCTTGATCCTTTCCCTTCCCTTACCAAAACTGCACTGGCATGGTGGAAATAGCATTAGATTTCAAATGAGAAACCCAGGTTTAAATTTCGGCTCCAATATTGACTAGCTATATGAGTGTAGACAAGCCACTTAATCTTTCTCAGCCTCAATTTCCTATTTGTAAATTGGAGAAAATACACTACCTATACCCGTCAGTCAATAAACATTTATTAAGCTCTTTCTATGTGCTAGGCCAAGGGTGGGGAACCTGGGGCCTCGAGGCCATGTGTGGCCTTCTAGGTCCTTGGGTGCAGCCTTTTGACTGAGTCCAAGTTTTACAGAACAAGTCCTTTCATTAAGAGGATTTGTTCTGTAAAGTTTGGATTCAGTCAAAGGACCACAGTTGAGGACCTAGAGGGCCACAGGTTCCCCACCTCTGTGCTAGGTACTGTGCTCAGCACTGGGGATACAAAAAGAGGCAAAAGGCAGTACCTGCCCTCAACAAGCTCATAATCTAATGGAGGAGACAATAAGCAAACAAATATATAAAAACAATTTTATGTAGAGGATAAATAGGAAATAATTAACAGAAGAAAGACACTGCAATTAACAGAGATTGTGAAAGGTTTCCTGTCGAAGATAGGATTTAGTTGAGACCTAAAGGAAGCCAGGGGAGGCAGTAGGCAGAGTAAGTGGGAGAATGCTCTAGCTACAGCAAAGTTGGAGTGTCTTACTTGTGGTTCCACCAGCAGGCCAGTGTCACTGGATTAAAAAGTAAGGTATAAGAAGACTCACAAGGAAGATGTATATATCTTAAAGCACTATATGTAAGTAAACTATCACTCTTTCACTGAGCTAAGTAGATATTTTATGATTAATAGCAATTTTTCAAATAATCATTTCCATTTTCTGCTTTAATAAGTATAGTCCCACTGATGCTGAGTGAAGTGAGCAGAACCACAACCAGGAGCACATTGTACACGGTAATAGCCACGTTGTGCAATGACTAACGTTGATAGACTTAGCCCCTTCTCAGTAATGCAAGGATCTAAGACATCTCCAAAAGTCTCATGATGGAAAATGCTATCTACATCTAAAGAAAGAACTATGGAGTTTGAATGCAGATCAAAGCACACTATTTGCTATTTTTTTTCTTCTGTTTTGTTTCCTCTTTCTTGTGGTTCCTCCTATTGGTTCTAATTCTTCCTTACAACATGACTAATGTGAAAAAAAAAAAAGGCTGGAAGGTCACCTAGTTCAACTTCTTCATTTTACAGGTGGGATTCAAATCTAGGGTGGAAAACAAGGCACTCTTTCAAATGGACTCTGTAGTGAAACAGTGGCAATCAATGAAACAAGAATAAAGCTCCTTTGGTCCCTGACTCCAAAGGAACAACCCCTAGGCTCTAGATTAAAGTATTCTCTTGTGAATTCAAGGTCTATCTAATGTGAATCCATAGGACAAAAGTTCTTACCTTTCTGAAGAGGAAAGCCCTTACCAGCTAACTCTCCACTCCCCAACACTAAATCACCTCCCCCATGCTATATATCTTATGCTATAGGTACTTACATTTTCAATATAATTAAATAAAATGTAAATAAATGTAAGTAAAATGTAAGCAAATAAAAATTAATACTGATTTTTTTTAAAGTATAGTCCCAGCACTAATGCATTGTTGGTGTAGCTGTGAACTGCTCCAACTATTCTGGAGAGCAATTTGGAACTATGCCCAAAGGGCAATCAAAACTGTGATACTTTGATCCAGCAATACCACTACTAGGTAGGTCTGTATCCCAAAGAGATCAAAAAAGAAGGCAAAGGTTGTATGAAAATATTTATAGCAGCTCTTTTTGTGGTGGCAAAGAACTGGAAATTGAAAGGACACCCATCAATTGGGGAATGGCTGAACAAGTTGTGGCAAATGAATGTAATGGAATATTACTGTGCTATAAGCAATGGTAAGCAGGCAGATTGCAGAAAAACCTGTAAAGACTTACATGGACTGATGCAAATGGAAGTAAGCAGAACCAGAAGAATACTGTACACATAATAACAACATTGTACAATGATTAACTGAATGACTTAGCCATTCTCAGGAGTACCATGATCTAAGACAATTCAAATGATTAATGAGGAAAAATGCTATTCACATCCAGAAAAAGAAGTGATGGAGTCTAAAACGCAGATTGAAGCATATTATTTTCACTTTATTTTTTTCATGGTTTTTTATCTCTTTTGTTCTGTTTCTTCTTTCACAACATGACTAATATGGAAACGTTTTACATGACTGCAGTTACATAACCCTATATCAAATTGCTTATCATCTTAGGGAGGTGGGACGTGAGGGAGAGAAGATGAAATTTGGAACACGAAATTTTTAAATGAATGTTAAAATTTGTCTTTACACGTAATTGGAAAAAATAAAACAGTTTTAAAAAAAGTACAGTCCCAGGGACAAACTTCAACTTCAAATAATCACTGGGTCAGATGACTCCATAATGACCCCTTGCTCATTCATAAGAACAAAAAGGAGATGGGGAATAGGCATACTATGTAATTAATGTATATGAAATGATGTTACCATTAATACTAACATTCTAAAAAGTATGGCAGCACCAGTCCATTAGTATTATTTTGGCAGGTTAGAGAAGAAGCACTAATAATCGGTGGAGGCTGAAAACAGAACACTACAGTGAAAAACCATCTGCTTTAGTATAGAACCTGCCCCTTGGGGAGTATTCTAAGTGTAGTGGGCTGAAGAAGCCAATGAATGTTGCTAAGCATTCAAGGAATAGAAAGAACTCATTAAACCATTTTCCTTACGGTAACTATTTGATCTCATCTTCCTTGGAAGAATCACATAATCTACCTTGTAGAATATTTTTGTCCCTTCTCTTTCCTCCTCCTTCAATAGATTATGAACTCCTTGGAAGTTGGAACTCTTTTTTTTTTTTTAAATAATTGTATCTTGGGTATAGCAGGCACTTAAAAGTTTGAACGACCTGACTTGTTCCAGAAAAAGGAGGAAGGGGAGAGTTGATGAAATTGGCTTTGGCTAATGAGGCACAAGCACCATCAATATTAAGGTGTGTTAACACAAGCGTAATTAACCAGAGGCAGCCGGAAGGAGCAGCAGCCAGAGACTCAAGTGTGTTATCCTTAAGGAAATGACTGACCACATCTTCGGCTCTCTAGCCTCACCTCCGCTTTTCTGCTTTAGTAGCAAAGGGACAGGAGAGGAGAAGCAGAGGAGAAGAGGCAGAAATGGAAGGAAGCGAAAGAAGGGAGGAGGGAGAGAAAGGAGGGAGGAAAATAAAGAAGGGGCAGACAGAAGAGAGGAGGAAGTAAAGGAAGGGGGCAGAAAAGAGGGAAGGAACAGGGGAAGGGGAGGAAAGGAAAGGAGAGAGGAAAAGAAGGAGAAAGGGAATTAAAGAGGAGGAAAGGAAGGAGGCGGAAAGGAGGAAGGAAAAAAGATGAACATAAAAGAGAGGAAAGGAAGAGAAAAAGGAAGAAGGAAGACATGGAAAAGGAGGAGGGGAGGAAAGAGGGGAGGGAAGGAAGGGGGACGGCGGGGGGGGAGGGAAGAGAGAGACGACCGCACCGGCCGTGCAGGGGAGGGTCGGGAGCGCGGGTCTGGAGCCGGAAGGGCCACCGCCAGCATTCAGAGGTCGCGGAACCAGGCTGGGGCGGCCGGGAATCCGGGGGTGCGCAGGGGGCGCCGGGCTCACAATGGCCAGAAAGCTCGGGGCGGGGCGGCGCCTCCCCCCGGTTCCTCCGCTCGGGGGGCCCAAGGCTCCTGAGGACCCCCTTCGGGGGCAGCGAGGCGAGCGCCGCAGGGCAGCCCGAGCCCCGGCCGCCTCCCCGCCGGCTCCCCGGCCAGGCCTCCCGCGGCCGAGCGCCGCCCTGGCCGCCCGCCCGCCCCGCGGCGGCCGCGCACCTTCTCCTCGCCGTCGTAGATGCGGACCCCGCGCTGCTGAATCACCAGCGTCTCGTTGATCTCCAGGAGGCCGTTCGTCCACACGAACCGGTCCATGACCCGCCGCCGCCTCCGCAGTTCCGGGCCCGGCCCAGCCTCTGCCCTCTCGCTTTCTCCCCGGCCGCGGAGCCGCCAGCCCGGCCGCCTCCCGCACTGCGAGGGCGTGGCGCCCCCTGGCGGCCTGGCTGCTCCCCGGGAGCCGCAGCGCGGGGGCGGGGCGGGGCCGGCTGCGAGCTGGCTGCGGGGAGCCCCGGGGCGAGGGGGCGAGAAGGGGGTCCTTCCCGACCAGCTGCTCGGCAGCTACTTGACTCTGCCCGGCCAAGGGGCAGTTCCCAGCTTCCATATAGTAGCTAAAGGTGGGGGGCGCAGGGGAAAATAATCATGGCCACTGACATTTTAGAATGTTTTATTTTTTCCCAATTAACAGAAATCTAGCCCCACCCTCAGAAAGAGAGAAAAAAAAGCTAGCCAGCCCTTGTACCAAATATATGTATTCAAGCAGCACAAATTCTGGTATTGGCCATGTCCAAAAAATGGCTCATTCTGCACTGAGTCCACCACCTGGATGTCAGGTAGTTGGTTCATTATTGGTCCTGTAGAATCATGGGTGGTCACTAAGGTTGAGCAAAGTTTTTAAGCCAAAAGTCGTCTGCCTTTATCTGTTCTTACTACAGATTATTCTGGTTCTGCTCACTTCCCTCAGCATCAATTCATAGAAGTCTTCCCAGGCTTCTAATAACAGACATTTACATAATGCTTTAAGGTTTGCAAAACTTAAAGCACACGATTTCATCTAAGCCTCACAATCACCTAATGAAGAGGTGCTACAGGGTACAGTTATTTTTCAGATAAGGAAATCTCAGGTTCAGATACTGTGTTCCATAAGTTGTATTTCTAAGGGGACTATTATTGATACTGGCAGGACTATCAGTAAAAGCTTATAGTTAACAAAGCTTTGTTCGTTTCACTTACAGAGAAGCTAATTTTTAATTCTAGAGCTTGCAAACAATACTTTGTGAAAGTGTGGCCAGTAATTAATAACTGAGGAAACAATCTGAGCAAAAGAAATTTATTGGCTAGGCAGTCAAGAATGAATGGGTCAGTGGTCCAAAGACCCTGAATACACAGTGAAGCAAATTTTTATACATAAAAAAATCAAATAAGACCAATTAATTATAATAAAAACAATTAACCAGAATACAAAATTAGGTAATAGCATTTCTTATCAGAGGAAAGTTTAGAGGTTTTCCAAGTTGGGAGGGGGAAGGGTAGTTTTCAGGATCTTCTATTTATAAAATGAAAACATGTTGATTAATTGCATCCACCTGAATGTATGAAACAATTAGACTTATATAATGTAGCTTCCCATAGTTGAATAACGAAAAACAAGACGGAGGAGAATACATGTAGCAGCACAAGATGGAGTCAACGTTCATAAGATAGAATCTGATGGGTTCTTTTGATTCCCACGCCAAACCGACTCCATTTTGTAACTGGTCTTCACTTTTCTCATCAATTCCCCTGTTTTGATTAAGTGAGAGGGGCCAGCCTACTCCCTCATTAATCACTGAGATGTAAACCAAACCAATCAAGGGGTATCATATCCTCAGAATTAAAATTATGTAACAAGAATAGACCACTAGGTGTCACTCTCTCACATAGCTTAGGGCAACAGTTGGTACATAAAGCAAAAATAAAAATCAGTCTTTAAGAAAGAAGAGCCCATTTGCCTATGGTGTGGAATAATAACCTATTACCCTGTAACCAAGTAAACCAAGGGGAGGGATTCCACCAAGGGTCTCTTGAGTCAGGAAGTTGTGTTTCTGCTAAAACCACTGAATTTCATGAAGGTTGGTTTACAATGTCCCCTGACAAATTAATATCAGAACAAGAAGGTTGATTGATCACAGCACAGTCCCCTCCTTATAATGGTGCAGTAAAATCAAGGACCATGGGATTTTGTAAGGCTTATTGTGCTAAGAAATCAACCTCGATTTGGAGGGAGGAAATGGGTTCTCTAGTAGCTTAGACAAGTTTCTCAGTTTCAAGTGATAAGTTTCGAATGCTGCCACTCCAGTGGATGGGAATAGGGACCAGTGGATCTTCATCCCTAGCCCATTTTCTTTCACAGGGTCACTCACTAACGTTTCTCTTTTTTCACAGCCATCCCATAATGCACCCAGATTTCTAATAGCACTTCTTCCCATGGTTCAAGAAGTTCCAAAATAATTAGGGGAAAGAGAGGCATAAGCCTTGTTTCCACAGATGGAAAACTAACCTGGGGATGATAAACTCCATGTAAGATTGTCCACCAAAAGTGTTGTCAGACCTAATCCAACCTAAGTCATTTCTGGTGAGATTTGGTGAAACATGCTTGGGTTTCCAGTCTGCATAGCTGTTGTAAAGGCAAGTTCTGGCACAAATGAAAAAAATCTACCCTATTTATATCAGGGAAGGTAATGCTATGGTTACGAATTATTACTTTGCCAAAGTCAAGGGTATTATAGGGGCCACAGTCTCAGGTGATACATAAAGGAAAATGTGATAGAGGCATATTAACAGTAACAGAAACAGTCCTGGTCTTAGCATACTGCCATACCTTCCCCCTTTTCTGCACCACCCACCACCACCACCATCAGAGGCTGATTTTAAATGAAATGTAATCACTTCCTAGGGGGTTCAAGGTCATGGATACGGGGTTGGCCCAGTTTAGTACCTTCCTATTAGGGGCATACAATTATACCTTGTTGAAGCCACAGCTGAAAAACTTCCAATCAATGGTGAGGCACAATTACATCTTGACTGTGGCAAAGTTATTGTTCTCTGTGATGGGGGAAGACTTCCCATGAGTTAGGCCCCACCTTGGTGTATATGATGATATACCTAACACCCATGAGGCCCGATAACTTTCAAGTGATATAGTTCGCCCTGCTTCACTGTGTAATTTACTAATAGCACTGAGTCTTTTCCAGTCTTCCTGGAAGGAGCAGATGGGGAGGAGAACACAACAGATAATAATAGTAAAACTAAACAACAACAAGAAAACTTAGATTTACACAATAGGATAATGGTAGTATTCAGACATAAAGTCATTGGTGTAGCATACAGACCAGGTAAAAAGAATCCAATACGCTATATATGCGGAAACTTCCCAAGAAGCAGGCAGTTTAATTCCTGGGTTCTCTATTCTCAAATCCTCCTGAGAGGAGTTGACTGGAGAGGAAAGAGTAACAGGGAAAAAATATCAAAATCAAAACAATATAACAACGAGTAGCAAGATTTCTTGTCATAATTAAAATGATTAATAATGCGAAGCATAAAGCAAGTGGTAAAACGAAAGGCTTCCATCTTACTGAATATATAAACTTTCTATAAAGATGGGTGCTTATTGCTACTCTCTTTGGAAGAGTTAGCAAAGTGGGAAAAATTATCACAAAAAGTAAAAACAACAGGTGACAGAATTAAAATAAAGTAAATCACAAAACGCATTATGAATCTAACTGAGGAGCAGGTTTTACACGAGAACAGGGTATCCGAGAGTCCTTTTCTCCAATCTTTACTGCAGCAGGAGTAGCTAGCAACACGTTGGAACAGGCCTTCCCAGGCAGGCGGAGTTCTGCTGGTTCGCTGGAAATTTTTTATGAAGACTTTACCTCCAGGACGGAAGTCATGCAAGTGAAAAGACCAAAGGGCCAGTTTGTGCTGCAGCTCCTGTCATGGAGTTCTCACTCTGTTCCATAATTGCTGTATGTAAGAGGCAACAGAAGTATCTCCTCCTACTAATGATGTATAGGCTGAGGCAAAAGGTTTTGCTTATGGAGAATGACCAAAAAGCCTTTCAAAAGGAAAAACATGTCATTCCTTCTGGGTCTCTGGGTCTACACCTGAGATGGAACAATGCAAGGGAGTGAAAGTCAGGCCATTTAGGATGTTTCAGAACATGGCTTACAAATATAATCTCAAATTCTTTATTCATATGTTCAACTTGACCAGAATTCAGGAAAGGGGGCGGGAGGAGGCGGGGGGAGGGGGGAGGAAGGGTGACAAGGGATATGAAATTTAGGAGTTACCTTTAGACAGAAATAAATTTAGGAGAGTATCATGTCAGTGAAATGAGATCCCTGGTCTGAGTCAATGTAACTGTGTGACTCTGGGCAAGTCACTTAACCCCAATTGCCTCACTTAAAAAAAAAATTAAATAATGAACAAGGCTGGAAAAGATGAGCTAACAACAACAAAAACACACCTGACCATAGAAAGTTATGGTGACAGTGAAGATCAAAACACAAACTCCGAAGAGAACAACAATGTCAAAAAGCCTCCAATGCAAAGCCTCAAAGAAAAATGTTGAGATCAAAAAGGATTTTAAAAATCAACTAAGGGAGGCAGAAGAAAAATTGGAGAAAAAAATGAGAATGATGCAAGAGAATCATGAAAAAAGAGTCAACAGCTTGATTAGCAAATGGAAAGGATGTACACAAATTTACTGAAGAAAACAACTCCTTAAAAAGTAGAATTGGCCAAATAGAAAAGGAGGTAAAAAAGCTAACTGAAAAAAAATCCTTAAAAATTAGAACTGAACAAGTGGAAGCTAATGATTCCATGAGACATCAGGAATCAATCAAACAAAATCAAAAGAATGGAAAAATAGAAGAAAATGTGAAATATCTCTTTGGAAAAACAACTGACCTGGAAAATAGATTGAGAAGAGATAATTTAAGAATTATTGGACTACCTGAAAGACATGATCAAAAAAGAGCCTAGACATCATCTTTTAAGAAATTATCAAGGAGTCACTTAACCCCAATTGTCTAAAAAAAAAAAAGTATCAAGGAAAACTGTCCTGATATTCTAGAATCAGAGGGTAAAATGGGAATGGAAACAAGCTACCAATCACCTCCTGAAAGAGATCCCAAAATGAAAACTCCAAAGAATATCATAGCCAAACTCTGGAGCTCCCAGGTCAAGGAGAAAATACTGCTAGCAGCCAGAAAGAAACAATTAAAATATCAGAGAACCACAATGAGGATTAGTCAGGATTTAGGAGCCTCTACATGAAAAGACTGATGGGCATGGAATATGATATTCCAGAAGGCAAAGGAGCAAGGGTTACAACAAAGAATCACCTACCTAGCAAAACTGATCATAGTCCTCCAGGGGGAAAAA